CATTTCTGTCTCAGTTGGAACATCAAGAGAGTTTTGTGTCTCATTCCAAGTAGAACTATAGATGTGAAGAAATTTTCTAAGCTCATTTGTGATACATGGAGAGAATTACATTTATATTAGGAAAAAAGAGCTGTCTTTCAATGTCACATTCATTATTAGAGATATTAGCCAGTTGTGATGAGACTCTGTGAAACAGTTAGGCTCTCTCCCTGCCTGGAGGGGGCTCATGCAGCATGAGACACACCTTCTCCTCTGCCTTCTTCTTATGACTGTGGAGGGGTGGCTCCTTCTCTCCTCCCAGTAGGGCAAGACCTTGGGTTCTTGCAGCAACCGCCAGCTGGGGCCACTGCCAGTGGCGGCACACTTTCTCCTGCTCTGGTCTGAGTGCCTGGCAAGGCCCCAGCAGCTCAAGCAGGTCCCTTTGTCTTTTCCTCAGCTGCCCAACAGTGATTGTCCTCTCCCTCAGGACCTTAGCACCCTTGCTTTTTGAAGCAGTGCTGACTGGTTTATGGAGATTTCTCCTCTGTGAACATGAATGTAAACATGCTATGTTCTCCTACTACAGAGCTCATCCCAGTAACTACTTGCTTGGTAACAGTCAAGGTTAGTGAAACAGTCTATAGGGAATTGATGAAAAAGTGAGTGTAATTCACTATATGCTATCTGGTTTTCTTTTCAAGGTAAACTTAGGATTTTAAACTTCTGAGGGTGATGGAGGAAGTATTAATTGGCTTTATATGGAATTACAAATTCTTCAAGGAGTAGGGTCAGTCAGATAGCTCAGTGGATTAAAGTGCCTGCTTTACAGAGCGCAGTGGCTGGGGTTCGATCCCCGGGAAATACTATGCTGGTCCTGCCCCTGGGGTGCGTGAGACGGCTAATGAGACTGGGCATGGTGGCACAGACCTATAATCCCAGTGCATGGGAGGCTGGAAACAGGAGAATCATGAGTTCAATCTATGTAGTGAGAACCTGTAGACCATGTAGACCCTGTTCTAAATACATAAAGAAAAAGGAGTATAACAACTTTCTACATGGTCAATCTTGTGAAGTGCCTGCCTTATTTGATAGGCTATATGTCTCAATGGAGGGGACTTCGGTCCTGTTTTCAGCACACATTCCTGTGTTGCAGGAAATGAGAGGGAAGGCTATGGTAAAGATAAATAGGGAGAAGAACTGCGGATGAGACAAAAAAAGGAAAAAACACAAACAAACAAACAAAAAACAATGAATGCCCAAGGAAAGCCAGAAATTCCCAGGAGGCTTGACACTGTCAATGGACTGGAATGTTCCAGAAGCTGCCGTGACAGCCATTGCTTCATCCCTTCCTCATCAAGGGACCCATCTAAGCTTGTACAGAGTTTATTATGCTCCAGGAAAATTGTTTGCTCTTGTCATTGCCGCTCCATCTCTCCAGCTCGTTCTTTCTTTTGTCCTCTCTTCCCTTTTTCCTTTCCCCCTTCCTTTCTCCCATGCTTCCTTTGATTGCCTCACTTCTCTTTCCTCCTTTTTCACTTCCTTCCCCTGTCTTTGTCCAGTAGTGTCTTAAAGGAAGGAAAATATGTGATATAACAACTTTCAGGGTTTATTTTTAACCCTGAGTTAAAGAAACTCATGCAGAATGGCCACTGGCATACAGAAGTTAAATAGCTCGCACACCTTGAAAGGGGGTGATTCAAAGTCTGTGATGTCATCGCATGCCCATTCCAGTGCCCCCACCGATTAACCTGGAATGAACTGAATGTAGCAAAGTCTCCATTATATACCTACTATGTCCCCAGCCCCTATCCTCAAACATTTAACTCCAGTGAAGCCCACTCTAAGATTTTCAGAATATGCACTCTTTCCTGAACATAATTGAATGTTTACAGGTTTACCACACACTCTTGCTGCAGAGCACCCTTCTTGTTTTATCATGCCTTTCTTTGCCCCTAACTCTTGCACATCTTTCAAAACTCAGACTATCACCTCTCCTGTGAAGTCTTCACTGAAACTCACAGATTGAATTGTTCTTTACTCTAAATGCTTGGAGCCATTGCCCATATTTCTAGCCAGCACTTTGATGGATTGTTTTGCATGCATCCCATCCACTAGACTCTAAAGTCCTAAAGAGAAAGAAAGGGGGCCTTATCCACTGGCAAAGAGCCTGTCACCTGGTTTTTGTTCACTGCTATGAGGCTGTTATGACTTGTTTCTAGATCCCCTCATCAAAGCCTCGTGTAGTCGTAAGTGGGGCTTTTTCAGAGGTGATTGGATCCAGAGTGTGTGACTCTGGAATTGATTCACAGTACAGTGCTAGACTCAAGGGTAGTAGGATTAAGGGTGGGAGTGCTACCTCCCCTGAGTAGCCTGAATAGAATATGGAAGAGAGAAAGAGCTGAAATCTTTCCTTGTTGCTTTGTTGCTCTCTGCCCACAATGAACTGTTTTTCCTCTGCTGTGCCACTCTCCCTGGAGCCAGACAATTATGGAGTAAAACTTCTACAAACTGGGAGCTAAATAAATAAACCTGCTCTGCTTTAACTTTGGGAGTCAAGTATTTTATCTAGCAAGGAGAAACATAACTAAGACAAAGGTATACATATGATGTAAGGAAAAATCATTGATATGTAATCTATGCATCATAATGTCCATGGCATTAGCTTTAACTTAAAGATTTCAGTACTTTGTTAAATGAATATTCCATATGAAAATCTGACTTTATAAAACTTAGAATAAGCTTACAAAAGTTTTATTCTAAGTTTCTCTAAATTGGGAGCTCTGCTAATGATTCAAACATGTCTCAAGATAAGAATATATGACTACATATATTTATAAAATTCTATAAAGTGGACTTAAGGGATTTGAAGAGGAAGTTCTTTTTATTTCTATGTCTTTTTCACTCTTTTTTCTCTTCCTTTTAAACACACAACACACATACAGAGAATATGAAAACTTAGTCCATGAATATTTTTAGTTTTTTAAAATATATTACATATTTTTAATATGTAACATATATTTTTTCATGTATAAAACATTGAGATAGTCTTTTTGTTCTATGGATTATTCACATAAGGAATGATGAAAATAAACTAGACACTTAATGGACCACGTTGGAAATGTCAGTATATTATTCCAACTTTGTTCAGCATCAATCAAGTAGTTATGTAATCTCAAATGTATTACATAGTTCAGTCTATATTGAGCTTCACAAATTTATAAACTTTTTGACTTTATTTATAAACTTAAGCATTTCCTTTTGGAAAATATTATTTGAATTTCAGTTCTTTTACAAAAAATAATGTTCTCAGGCACATGCGTGTGTTTGCATAAATATGGATGTTTTGTATATAGTCATTATATATACAAATAGAATTGAAGAGTTCATATTTATGTGTACTAGATGTATAGCAACTATATGCACACTGTGGTCTGTGATGGCCCGCCAGCCCATAGCTTCTTTGTCCTTGGAGGGCAGCCAATGGCTCTCAAATGATGGAGACTGGACAGTATGACTCAGCTGAAGAGCGTTAAGGTGGTTCCTACTGAACATGCTCTTGGCCAGCAACCTCCCCCCTACAGTTCCAAGTTGAGTGTGTCTTATACATTGTGTTGCTCACTCTGCTGGGATCTCTCCTGGCAATTATTTTGCACTCTGGTAAATGATTTGGAGCCATAATGACTGACAAATCCTGCAGAAGCTCAAGCTGGATCTGTCATAAGGAAGAAAGGAAAGTAGCTGTAAGTTGAAAGGTGTTTGCCATGGCTCGTGGCTTTTCTAAAGGATACAAAAACTGTGTTAAAAGTCAGCAGAACATTGGGAGCCGGTTCGAATCTTTTGACATTGTTAGAAGTATTATATGCATTCCTTCATCTGGGGATAATTGACCTGCTATGCTTGTGTGATTCGGGGATTTAAAGGATTTGAAGAAAAACATGATTTGCAGTGCTGTGCTTCCAAAGAGGTTTTGTTCAAATTACCCACTGAAATGTGGACCCATGAGGTGTTCTTGGGCTGTTGCTTTCCATTCCTACCTGCAGCGCCATGCTCTCCAAGTAAACAGGGTGTGCTTGCAGCCTGTTCTGTATTTATCTGGTTCACCCCACCTTTACGTTCTCTGAAGTCATACTAAATGTAAACCTTATGCTTTTCTTTGTACTGTATTTTGAAGTGAAAAAGATAGTCATGATTTTTTCATTTGAAAGATTTTTTTCTTAAGAGAAGTGTAGGTTTAGTAGACATATGCTAGATTCAGAAAACCTGAGGGCAAGGAGGCACACTGATAGTTTGAAAGGTTCCTTGGTAATTCTCAGGTACATCCAGGATTGAGAGTCACTACTGGGTAGAAGGTATGCAGATTCATTTTCTGGGAAGTTGATATTTACTTAACTTGGAATCCTTATTTGAAAGGTTGCTAAGGGGAATGGTTCTTTGACACTGTGCATCTCCCTGTAAGAACTACATTTCAAATGAATTCAAATGATAGTGTCTAATAATTTGGCTCAGATTTCTCACATGGGAGGGACATCCTATAAGGTATAGAGATTTGGTATTAACTAAGAGAATATTTATTTAGCACAATGCGTAGAATTACTTTTTCTACAATATCTCTAAGCATTTCCTTGAATACTAAATGAAGCCTACTCTCTGAAGAAATTGAAGGTGTCCCACCTAGTTATCTAGGTATTTGACAAGAAAATGATGGCAGGAAACCTGCTTGGGAAAATTAGGAAGGTGGAATGTATAAAAGGAGGGCCAGGCTGTAACTCAGTGGTGAAGTGTTTGCCAGTGACATAAAAGACTGGTTCAGTCCCCAGCACCTGAGCAGGATGGGAGGGTACTATGAAAGGACAGTTTTATTGTACCACAGTGGTATTGAGCACAGATACTTTCATTAATGATTAACCAACAGAGTCTGAATTAATGTCACATAAAGGAAATTGAAACCTAGCCCATCTATGAAACTCCTGCACTCGTTTCTGCTCTGAAATCACAAAGAAAATGTTTGTTTTTCTCCTTAGGTTCGAACGAGTGTCCTATCTGAACATAATAAGGACTCCCCATCAGAAGTTGGGGTAAGTATTTCTTCTATTTCCGAGGGCACACACATTTTTTTCTAAGTGAATTATTTACATTTTTCTGGCCTCCTGTCTGGTAGCTGCCAGATGAAATTCAGTTAAATGAGCAGGGTGTGACCAAGCAAGGAGGCATTGCCACATATTTGCTCAGTTGCATGGAATTAATTCCTTGTCTCCTGAAAATCATCCTCAAAAGAATTTATATTTAGTTCTTCAGGCTAGAAATGAACCTAGACATTGCCCTGCAGGTAGCTGAAGTGCAATTTGTAGCCACATTACTGGACCAAGAGCAAGCTAGGGAAATTACAGATGTGGACGGTGTGACTGCAGGCAGAGGGCCGAGAACCAGCTGAGGGACTATGAGGTTTCGTTTGCTGCCATTAAAATACTAAACTGCAGGTCAGATAGACCACTACCCATTTTGAGTTCAGGGCTGGCAAAACCCTCTGAGGCTTTCCCACTGCATGCGAACCTTTGCATTGCCAGCCTTCAGAAGTTGGCCATGAACCTAAAGAAGTTAGAAAAAGTGACCCAACCCATACTAGGTGCTTTCTGCTTACAAAGCCTAGAGGTAGAGGTGGTGGCTGGGGAAAGGAATCAAGCCCAGCAGGTTTAGGCTCTGTAGATTTTGCATTCTGAGAGGAAAGAAACAACCCAGGGCTGGGCCAGCTGAAAGCCTGTTTGAAACCCTGCAGGCTCCTAACAACCTTCCTCCACTGAATGTGTGCAGCCCAGTACGAGGTTCCACTGATGTTTTTCATCAATAGCAGTATCTTCCAAACCTACTAAAGAAGCGCTCCTAAAGCATGCCCAAGTGCAATTTCCATTGAACAAGTCCAGTGTCAATTATCTGAGCATCTGGTAGTGAAAAAGGAGGAGAAGAGGGCTAGGCTGTTGTCCCAGTCACAGCTTCTGGTTTTGCTGGGACCAGAACTAGCTTCTCCTTGTACTCAAGTGAGGCTGTGTGCTCCTTCTTCCGCCAGCTTCCTCAGCCTGGAGTGTTCGCTCCTTCCCACCACCCCTCTCTGTGCTCACCTGTCCTGAGCCCTCCAGTGGCTGCTCCACGGTCTCCATCAAGTCTTGCCAGCCTCAGGTGCACCCAGCTCCAGGCACGCGTGCAGCCCTGGCAGCCTGGGCTGCTGCTCCCCACCAGCCCCCTCTGGCTGCCCCCACCTTGCTTCCATGACCTCCGCCCTCCCTCCACCTGATCTCCTCACACCCTGTGCAGTGCTGCCATGAACCTAAAACCCCATGGAATGTGTTACTGCCAATAAGGCCAGCGGTGATTTTGTCAAGACGTATCATTTACTTATTAAAGTTGAAGGAGAATGAGTATCTTCCATTTTTCTTCTTTAACTTCTCACCCCCTGCTGTTCTTCAGTCTCCCTGCTTGAAGATAATTATATGCTAATCTAATTGGATACATTTCTCGCTGTTGTTTTGCTCTCACTCAAGCTCTTGGGAATCCACCTCATCTGTGTTAAACCTTGAGTCTCTTCTTTGATTTTATTTTCAAGCCCTCTCTGTGACTCTAGCAATCTGCCGTGAAGGGAGGAAAGTCCTCTGAGTGTGCCACGTGTCCTAGTCCTTCCCCTTTCTGCTCAGCTACTGTGGCAAGGACAGGAGGGGGAGCACAAGCTCCTCTGTGTCTGCTCGTGGGAAGGACATAGCTTCCTTCTGCTGGTGTGGTGCTTCTTAGTCTAACCCGGCCCCTCAGAGACCCTGTCTGGGGGAGACTGAGTTCCGGCTGTCCTGTGGACTATAAGTCTAGATATTTCTGGGGGCCTTGTCTGGTTTTCCCCACTGCCTATTTCTTACAAAGGAGAGCAGCTCTGGACCAGCTTCTTCCATTGCCCACCGTGCTCAGTACTCTCTCGCTGCTGAAGTCCTCTGGTTAACATAGGGCTCCGCGCCAGGCCCTGTCTGTGCTGTCCATGAGGCCAACAGGAAGGTCACATGGAAAAGATGCAGATGGCCTCACTGGTGTTTCCCTCTGCTCAGCCCCCTCTAAGCTCAACAGGCATCCGGGACTAGAGTCCACGATGCTCAGGGAGAGACGCTTGCTGCTCCTTGGAGTGAGTAAAAATGATTTTGTCAACTTCAACCTTTACAAGTGATTTAAAATAAAAAAAAAATCAGATTCTTTTATCTTTGGGGACAGAAGTGTCTCCTGGGAAGATCAATGATAGATTAGCCTCATCTCTTATACATTATATTTCCTAAAATCCTGATGATTGCCTCTCTTCTCTCCTTAGGTTTATATTAACTAGATGTTTTGTAGTTAGCACTTGGCCAGTTTCTTTAAACTGCCCTATCACTAAGCATTGTAAAAAAAAAAAATTACTGGCTCCAAAACAAAGTTTTTTTTTTTAAATGTACATTGGGATATATTTAGTATATTCTAACCTCATCTTTGACAGAGATTCAACCATAATTCCTCAGCCGGGAATGTGTTCAGAGTCCAGTAAGCTGACGAACTGGGGCTTAGAAGTATTGAGTTAGGCTTTCTCAGCCCGAGTAAATTTTGCAGAGCTGTAGCTGCTCAGAAACGACTTCAAGAATGAGATGCTGTCCGTTTTCCTCCTCCTCCTCTCTTAGTGCATTTTCCAGTCTGGTCATTGCAGAAGCATGAACATGGCTAGTCGTAGGAATGATAAAGAACAGACAGTTCAAGTGAGGTCACTCTGCTCCTCCAGTTATGAAAAACAATAACATTTGGGAAAACCTCACTCAATATACTGCCCCTGCGGTCACTGGGAAGAGTCAAGGATTTTCAAGTGCAAAGAAAGAGGTTAAATTCTTTTTAATATATTTTATTTAGCCCAATACATGCAAAACATTATGTTCTAAAATGCAGTCACTATAAAACTAAGATCACAATTTCACATTTGTTGTTTTTCACTGTCATCTAAATCCAGTGTGGGTTTTATACTTTGTAATATTTCAATTGGGAGTAGACCCATGTTCATCTTTTGGCTAATGCTATTCATTGAGGAGCTTCCAACTGTAGTTGAAAGTTTCAGGGGCATCATACATATAATATAAAGTAAAGTTATCTTGTGACTAAAGACTTTGTGGGATGAACATAGGTGACAGAGCTCTTACCCGGTTGTGGCAGCCCTACAGGACTTTGCGTCTTTAGATTTCCTTTTTGGTGTCCAGAGAGCCATTGTGGACCTGTGACATGAAGCTGACAAGCCCTAGAGAGCAGCCTGGATGTCTATGATTTGCTCTGAGTCCCTGCAGAGGCTAGCAGGATGTGTACTTCCCATAGAGCAGGCAGAGAAAGCAACAGACACCCTCTCCTCGCCCTCTTTGACACTACTCTCCAGGTAGGGGAGTGGTGGAAAGCGAGTATCGAGCCATTCAGTGATCACAGGCCTTGGAGCTTGTGCTCCTGAGTGGTAATTGTGAGGGGTGCGATGCTGTGAGCAAGTGAGGGAATCAGAGCCACGCACTGGGCAGGCAGAGAGCCTGTCAGAGGGAAAGGGAATGGCCACCTGCTCTGGAAACGAGGCACGCATGATGCAGGTGAATGAATGCTGGGCATGGAGGCAGGAGAGCCCAATTTTAACTCGCCTCCCTGCATTTTCCTGAGCTCTGTGAGTGTGCATAAGGCAGGTTCCTCTCACGGACCTGAATCCTTCTGCTGACAACCCATAATGCCCCGACAAGCTCTCACATCCTGCAAACATTCCAGGTGATGTAGTACAACTTTGAGCCACGTAGAATATTAGTATATATTAGAATTTGCTCATCAATATTAACTGTATGCATCCTTGCCAACTTGGTAGTTTTTCTCATCCTCTATTCAGAATGTCTAAATAATGTCTAGTTTTCCTGAATCTAATTTTCATTTTTACAAATATATTTTGCCTGTACTGGAGCCATTTCCTCACAGCTCCTCCTTTTCTCATTCTCCTTCTCCTTTTCCTCTTCCTCGTCATTCTCCTCCTCCTTTTTGTCCTTCTCCTCCTCATCTTCATCCTGCTCCTCCTCCTCCTTATCCTTCTCTTCCTCTTCCTCCTCCTCCTCCTCATCCTTCTCCTCCTCTTCCTCTTCCTCTGCCTCTTCATCCTTATCCTCGTCCTCTTCCTCCTCCTCCTTCTCTTCCTCCTCCTTTTTCGTTGTCCTCCTCTTTTCTCCTCCTCCTCCTCCTCCTCCTCCTTCTCTTCCTCATTCTTTCTTCATGTTCTGCTTTTCTGAAACATTTAAGGGGAGTGAAGATACTTCTATGACATTTGACCTCTCAGTCTGTTATCTTAATCACTATGCCAACTAATATTTATGGTGTGATTCCTGTTTTCCTGTGACAGAGCTAAGTGTTTTGCCTGGATAACTTTAATTCTGAAAACAACATCTATGAGAATGGTCCAGTTGTTATGTAATTTTTAAGGGCCAAAACTAAGGTGGAGAATAGTGGAATAATTAGTCCAAAAGTGGACTGAGGCAATAGCTCAGCAGCATAAGTGTTTTCCTGGAAAGTGCAAGGTCCTGAGTTCAATCCCCATACTGGGGGTGGGGGGGGGGCGTGGGAAGGAAGAAGGAAAATGGAATTAGTCCAAAAGTATTTACATCATAAGAGAATGACAAGACCCAGTGATTGCTATGGTGGGTAATAAGCCCTGGGCTGAGGGAAGTTGCTTAATTTTCTATATTTCCACTTTGGGACAGAATAACTAAGTTAGAACCACATTTCAAACTTTCCTTACTCTTTTTTCTTGTCTTATCCCCTGACAGTAACATCACAAATCAAGATATGGAAAATATCATCTCTTGAATTTGAGATAGTAATAAACTTAAGTGCTCTTAAATTCTATGCTTACGATCACTGTGAAGCAAACACAACATAGCTTTCTATTACTCTTTTACATCTGTGTTGTGTGCTGTTTCCCCCTGTATTTGGATCTCAGGAGGAAGACTGATTCTAATTTACCCTCTTGTAAGTGTCCAGGGAGTTTTCACCTACATGGTCGATTTATTTTCTAGTGTTGGAGGTGGGAAGGATCCTAGTTTTATATTTAGGTTGGGATAAAGCAAGCAAATAACAACCTGCTGAAAAGTAAACATGTAGGAAATTCCATTTTGGGGTGTTGCATTGTAAACACTTCCATATTGTCTTTAAACTTGGGGATCTTATTATGTGTGCTACCCCACATGGGATCCCAAGTTCTGATTACTTTTATAATGACTGCTATAACATTTATCCATACATAGCTCTTCCCTGGTGTGAAAAGTTTGAATAATGTAATTCTTTGATGGCATTGCCAAAGGTGAAGTTTTTAAAAAGCAGACTGTATTGTCTTTGAGGGTGCTGAGACTGTCCTCTGAGACTAAGCGCTTGGCTGACAGTTGTGGTAGAGAAAAGCTTGACGTGTGCTCATCATTGCTGGCGCACTGCAGGCCTCCTCGTGTGGCCACAGAATTAGTGTTCAGCCCAGACGCTGGCGTGGCTAGGACACCGGGAGGCCATGGCCCCGCTGCCAGGGGCGCTCCTGGTCTGGTGCGCAGGCGAAGCGTTCGGTGCCTGTGGCCGTCAGTTTTCCTTGCAGCTGTGCCTTATGGTGCGTCTGTAGCTATGTCTAAAAATAGCCGCTCCACCTGTCTCCAGTTGTCGCATTCCGCTTTAGGCTGTTCACTGTTTTTCTTGCTGAAAGACCACAATAATGCCATGACTGGTGCAGTTTCTTTGTTAACTCTAAAGTCAGCCATTCCTACAAAATCTCAAAAGGCAAACAGGAAGTCATTTAAAACTTAGGGGGATGTTGTGAAACTTGCTATCTATTGAGTGTTAGTATGAACAATAAGTGAAATGCAAAAATTTCAACTAGAAACACTGATATCAGTGAAAGAGAAAGTGAGTCAGGCAACTCTTTACAAATGCTGAAATGAAAATTACTACAATATTAGATAATCTGCATGCCATAAAATTGTGTTGCTGCCTCCTGTTTGAGGGAATTACACTAGTTTCTAGGTAACCGTGAAAGGAGTATTGCTCTTATGTGTAATCAAATAACTTGCCTAAAGCTGTGTCAAGGCCACTCGTCCATTGCCAGTAATTCCTGGGATTATTTTTCACATGTCTACTGTGTAGCCCACATAGAGTTTGTCAAAACAAGACGAAGCTCCTGCTGGAGCTTTTTAGCTCCGTAATTTGTAGGGGCTCAAGTAATTGTTAAATTCACAGCGCTGCCAATGGAGGAGACTGAAACACGGGAGGAAGCAGAGAGGAGCAGAGTGGGATGAGCGCGGTGCCCCCACGGACTCTGCTCCAGAGGGCATCCTGGGGCGAGGGGTGAACAAGGGCGTTGGCTAGCGGGGTCTCCCGGGAGCGCTACTGCTTGATCAGACGTCACCACTGTTTCTGCACATGTTGTTGACTCAGCCCTCTAATTTGCTTCTGTTCCTTACTCCAGGCCGCCTGCACCACTCATCAAATCTACTGTTGCCAGGGTTTTTGTTTTTGTTTTTGTTTTTGTTTTTTTCCTATCTGATAGCAGATTTGATTTCACTGATTGGGTTTTCCGTTAATAAAGTTAGACACCCCCCACTTCAAAACTGAGCTGTATTCAAGTGCTTGTCTTTAAACCTTTGAACCAGCTCTTTCAGAGTTTTGAAAAGAGATAAAAGTTCTGACTTAAAAGACTTTTTTCATAGCCATGCTCAACTGAGGCTCCGGGTACACATTCTCTTTATATAGGGATTAATTACCTAGTTTTATCTGAAAAGCTCTAGTAGGCCTTAGCATCTTGAAATCCAACTTCTCATTTAATTGTAGTCCAGAAGCAGACCTGAAATGTTCTAGAAGAGACAGCCTTGACCTTTTATAGAGTATGACATGGTGCCAGGCAGCAATGACAGCGGTAATAATATGGGTCTCATGCCTACTTCTTAGCCTGAATGAAAGAATGAGAAATATTATATGTTCTTTATACCACAATACTATGAATTTTAAATCAGAAGTACCTAGAGATGCTAAGAAAAAGATGGAAGATCTTTATTCTGAGAGAGAGAGACAGAGAGAGTGAGTTTTTTTCTTCACATCTACTCAAAAACAGCACAAGGCAAATATTCATAGGTAAGAAAACACCCTGTCTGATAAGTTTAAAAAGCAATTTTAGAAAATGTAACTGGAAAAAATTCCATTTTCATGTGTATATTGGAATGAAATTGCCCCAATGCTAGTAAAGAAATAACAAAGGAAACAAATGCTTTTAAATGTTTCTGTGATGGGGGAGAAACATAGCATTTCTATTTTTAGCTTATACAGAGTCCCACACAAAAATAGCTCCAAGAAACAGATTTGCTCATATCTGGAAAACAGTCACTGCTGTCAGTGATTTGAGGAAGTCTAATAGAAACGGCAACACTGGTAAATATTGGACGTTTATCATCTTTTCTTTTTCCCTCATCCTTATGGGGAGGTAATCAGTTAGTGGCGTTGTGGCTGCCATGTTTTACATCTTGTTATCTTCCAGGCTATTCTTTTCTTTTCTTTGAACAACAATAATGCGTCCTTATCCCTCAATCCCACCCCATGAGCTGCCGATAGTACGGATTAGACATGTTATGCATTAGAGTATTTGATTCTTTGGAAGGCTGATTTTGTGTAATTGGTATCACAGGAGAAATATTAAGCACCCTGGAAGTTAATGAAGACCATTTGTTCTTCTCTTTTTCAGCGAAGCTTCTTGGGATGTGCAAGTTTTAAAGTGGGGGAGCTACTGAAGTCTAAGGAGCAACTGTTGTCCTTGAATCTGAGGTGGGTTTTGTTCACAGAACACAGCGAAGGTGGGAAACTTGTGATGTATGTTGATGGCTGGCTTAATTTCCAAGGCGCCATTCTTGTAGACGCTGGATGTCAACTCTTGAATAGGTGTGTTTCCCCTGCAACAAGTAATAGCACTAGAAACAGCAGTTACTCAAGTTCATGCTTCGCATTGTGAAATGGTATTAGATCTTGATGGAAAGCAATAGTACATTGCCATTAAAGAGATGTATTGTTTTGAAAGGAAATGTAAGCTATGGCTATGCTATTAAGTAAATTTTTGAGATGTTCTTTTTAAAATAAATAAGTTTTTAGGTTTGTTATTTATTTGTTGCAGGCAGCCTTGTAGCTTTATGACGGTAGAGAATAGCTGAGTTTTAAAGTTTTTTTGTTGTGGTGGTGTTAAACATAATATACTTTTCATACTAAAGCTGACTCATTGGAATAGTAGATCTTAATTAACTTTGAGTATGAGAACAATTTCTTTGATATTTCTTTAATATTTGACATGACAAAAGCAGTCTTTAGAAAGTTGCCAAAAATCTGAATGTAAAGAGTATTAAATAGGATGAATACTTCTTTTTAAATTTATAATAAGTTTGAAAATAAAGGTTTATTGTTTCCAACTGTATAACTTTTATAATGATATACACGTAGGGACTACTGCTCTATAAGATTTGTATAGCATGTATAGCTACAAACATTTTATAGAACACTATTAAACTTTAGTTTCTGTTTAAATGGGACACAGAGACTACTTTGAGGAACTAGATAATGTCTTAGGTTTGTTTGTTCCTTCTCCGAAGGACCTATTTCCAACCAATAATTAATTTTATCCATTAGTACTAAGGTTTATGTTGGCATCTATGAGCTTCATGGCTCTTCACTTGGAGTCGACAGTATAATATTCAAAATAAATCCTACTCCAAGCAAAAAAATAGGTTCTGGTGTGTTCTAAAAAGGCTTCCTTTAGGTTGTATCTTAAACAACATCTGGTGGTGGAATATTTTGTCTGATATGGCACTCAAGATTTCTTATAGTTTTGTGTCCTGTTCCCCGGAATTTTTTCTGCTTTTATTATTTTCAGTTTAAAGTATAAAATGGCCTATGAAAAAGCTGTTGGTGTAACCGATCCCTCACCAGACAACGCGCCAGTGTGAACGTGGGGACTGGCCTTTATACCCCCCCCCCTCCCCGCTCAAGAACTCGGAACCACTAGCTGTCTAGTTGCTTTCTGGGTCAGATCTCTTCTCACTCAGCAGCGTAGTGCACCACAGCGCCCCATGGAGACACCAGTGTGAAACAAGTGTTAGGGTACCAGAAATGGTCAGTGGAATGAAAACTAGTGAACATCGACGATACTTCAGAGAAAGAGACGGGAACAGAAAGGCAAGGTTAGATGGCCATCCTTGGAAACAAAATTAATGTAAGAACTTCTCATTTAGAGGAAAGCAAGATGTGCTTCCTTTTCATAATTGAATACCTCGCTTCTTAGTCATTCGGTTTCATTGTATGAAAGGAAAACAAATTCAACAACAAGGACTGGAGTTTTATTTAAGCAAATATTAATTTTAGCAAACCAGTTTTGAAATAGCCTAGAGAGTTTGTTTTTCTTTTTTGCCAAGTTTATAGCCCCACTAGATTATAAATTTATCATAGTCTTTTGATTTCTGGTACATGGTTTATTGTCATTGTTTGTTTGTCTTTGTTTGGGTTTTCTAAAGTTTCTGGTGCAGTTGATCTTCTTTCTATTGACTATTTCTCAGACAATGAATTGAAAAAGCATTAGGTTGGGGGTAAGAGAGATTTTTATTTATAAATATTTCTTGTGCTGATTACTTCTGTATTTTACTGCTTTTATATGCTGCTCATTACTTTTAATACAACAGAATTAAACATTCAGAAAAACAAAGGCAAGTTTCAGGTACTATTATAGGAAGGAAAAGCTGTGTTTCATTTTCCAAAATAAGAAAGTTGAGCTGTGCTCTCTAACCCCTGGCTTTTCACTGGCTTGTTCACATTCCCAAGTAGTATTCCAGAGCTCCCATCCCATTTAATGTGGCTGCAGTGCGTGTGGAGAGTGCTTTACACTGGAGATATTTTTCTTTCTACAGAAAATGGGAAAGGGCAAAAAGTGTGCATCTCAATTCTGATTCAAACTTCATGAAATGTGATGTGTGTTTTTAAAATTATAAAACAATGTTTGCATTTTTGAGGGAAATGATTACAACGTATAAGATAGTATCTTTTCATGAAAATCATCTTCATATATCTGCATGGTTTACTATGTTTCTTTCTGAGTGTGCTTTCTTTCCCTGTGGAACTGGTATCTTTATTGTTGACATCTTTACCATTATTTTATATCTACTTGATTTTGATACTTTATATAGAGTAGTCCCTATTTCCTTTGACTTGTTTTGTAGCTCCATTCTATCCTCCGATCTTTTCTCTGGTTCTTTGCTTATAGTCCTAATTTCTGTGCTATAAAATGAATAAAGTAGAGGTCTTATATAGACGATTATAATTTTTGCATGAAACACGCTGAACAATCTTACTATGATGAAAGAATGATAATGTTACGGAGAAAAACAAGAAACAACATCAATTTGTGTGCTCTGTCTCTCAGAATATCACAGATATCTCATTGACCCTCATCAAACTAATCTATGGTGTTACTTTGTCCATTTCATAAGTAGAACTAGAATGTAGAGAAAGTGTTTAAGTAACTTGAGCAAAGCTATACTAACCATGACTACAAAAGGGAAGGTATACATTTTGTGACTGCAAAACCTGTAATCTTAATGAACCACTCCCTGTCTCCTTTAATATTTAATAAAACTGAAAGTTAGTTGTGCACATCCCGTACGCACATGGGTGGGAAGGCCAGCTGTGTTTCATTGGCCAAGGGGCGTTGGGTCTTGTGAACTTTGTTCCTGGAGTCCTGTAAAACAGTCTGAATCCCTGTGGTGACTGAGAAAAATCTAACCAGAAGTTGACAACAGGGTGTTCAATGATGAATTTTTTTCAAATAAAATTATTATTATTTTTTTTTGTTGCTGCTCTTTTCTGGTCCTGAAAGAAACACTATATAGACTGTCTTACTTTCAGTGCAAGGTTCATTCTTTAAAGCATGGGGAGCATGGCTGTCTTCATAATGACATCTTTATATGTGTGTGTGTGTGTGTGTGTGTGTGTGTGTGTGTGTGTGTGTGTGAAGGGTCTGCAGGGTGTTCAGGGTCTCACTACTAGACTGGACTCAGTGATCCGCCTGTTTACAGCCTCCCAAGAGCTGGTATTATAGGTGTGCGCCTCCCCACCCAGTCTCAATTGCAGTCTTGGGCATGCCTCAGGGGCGGGGCCGGCACGGCAGGCCCAGGAATCAGACCCCTGGCCCCTGCGCCTGCTTGCAGACACTTTAATCCACTGAGCTATTTGGCCAGCCGTGACATTTTTTCTTGTCAATAGCTATTTGAACTTTAGAGGTGGTTTTAAGATTTGTATTAAACCACCTTAATAACCTTGTGCATTTTATATACTTTTCCTTTTTCTTTACGAGCTTCCAGTTAGCTTTTTTTTCAAGCCCTCTACACTAGGATTTGGGCAGATAATTCTGCTGGTCCCCATAGTACTAAGAATAATGTATGTCTAAAACATTTTTTATATTAAATAAGGTCAGTAGAAATTCATTTGCAGCCAACAACCCCTCTTTGGGAGAGAGCAGAATATTTGTCATTAATTATAAAGCAGAATAACATTATATTTCACTGAACGCATGCATGGGAAGGAAGAGGATGAGGATGGCATGTAAAGAGCTCTCTTAATTGATGCTTTTGTATAAACAAATACATATTTGCATCTGAAGCTCTAAAGTGATGCACCAGAACACTTTTCTCTTTGGATGTGAACAAGCCAGAAAATGAGAGAGACAATAGTGAATGCATACTCAGGAATGTTATAGATGCACAGGCTCGGGAGAGGATCTTGGATCCCTGAGCACTTCCTCCACTGCTCTTGGCATGATTCCAGAGAAGGTGAGTGGCAACTCCTGCAGGATGGGTCTGACCTTGATAAATTTTTGTCACCATAGGCAGAGAGGTCCTATAATTTCCTAGAGGATCCTAAGGTTTTGCACATTTCTAGTACCTTAGTTACTCTTCTAATAATGCCAGTGTTCCAGTGCACAAGAAGATGGCATTTTTCTTGTGTCACTAATTAGCAAATGGAGAAGCAGCAATAAGACTGGCTAGTGTCACCCCCATGGAATGGGATGGAGAGTAGAGAGTGCTATCTCAATAGCAGGGATTTCTCAGAAATTACTTTTTTCAGCATCTTGTGTTAAATTGCATTAGAGGACTAAGGGAACCTTGAACTCTCCACTTGAACATCCTAAAGTTTTGTCAGAAGGGCTCAAACTCAAGGCTGTCCACTCATCATAGGAGAAGGTTGGTGTTAGAAAAGTAGCCCTGCCCGTGTTATACAAACTTTCGTCTCCTTGCCCTGGCCCCAGCTTTTCTTCATGAAGTTACATGCAACAAGTTTTCCTTTTTCTGTGACATATTTCAAAGCATCATTTTGGTCCACTTGAAGTTTTAACTTCTTTTTTACCCAGGAAGAAATATGAGATAGTAGAAAGACTTACATACCAGATCTGAGCTCAAGTCCTAGCTCTGTCACCAGCTGGGTACCCCATGCACCAATTTAGTCTCTCTTCCATCTGTCAAAGGAAGTAGCAAGGACTTCTCTCCTTGAGTGGTCCCTGGCAGTTAATAAAATGCAATGAAGTTCTAAATACTGACCTACATTAGGGAAAAACACTATAAATATTGTTTCTCCTGTTCCTTGCATTAAATTTACTATTTCTTTTCATCATCACTTCATCTTTTGCTGAGTTGCTTACTTAGTGTATTAAAATTCTTTCTTATTTAAAATCTGACAGCCACAGTTCTCTGAACTTGGTCAGTGACAGAGAGGTTGACTTAATCCTGAATCTAGAC